CAATGCATATCGTTCGTTCATACAGTCAGATTTTCAAAATAAGTTGAAAATGAAACAATGGAAACAAGAAAAACTGCACTGAAAGTATAAAACAATAGAATAACACAAAACAAAATTTACTATGAAATGAAAGTCCTATTCCCTATTCTTTTGTTTTGATATGATATTAACTTTATTTCTTTGTAAAGCAAACACTTTTATAGTTAATGGTCCAATATATTTGCCTCGTTACACGGAGGAGCTAGCTGAATCAGTTGACAATGTAATTTGTTTGTTATGACAATGAAAAGACGGTAGGGCTAGGGACAATGGTAATGATGCCGGTGATCGGACATCTAGCAGATAGATATGGAATTAAGACATTGCTCACTCTTCCAATGTGCCTTTCCATTATTCCTCCAGGTTCGTTTTCTCCTTTTCCTTAGGCTTCATCAAATCGAATGTCTTTACATAAATTTAGAAGATTATGAATACTTTCTTAGTTCTTGTGTTTACCGTTTTAATAGAGAAAATATAAATTGCGTATGCTTATATATATCAATAATAAAATTCAAAAACTGAAAGAATAATCCGTGTGTGATGGTCTTGTGGTATTGCGTCTAAAGCAAAGAGGATTCATAAACCTTTTTGCTAAAAGATATTTTATATATGGATTAATTGGGGATATCGACAAAAATTGAACACTTAGTCTAACAAAAACAAACTGATAGAGATAAAAAAATTTGTGCAAAGTAACTACTATCACACTACGTAGTAGTCTGGTGATAAAAAGATCCGGAAGGGTGGCGTCAACTCCCTTCTTCTTTTAAAGTTAACTTCATCTCAATTTTTTTCATATCCGTTTGGTCAATTGAATTGGCAAACGTTTAAGCCTATTAAAAATCTAGTAATTGTCCTTTCCGAAGATCGCATTCAATTATAAGTAGGGGTGTCAAATGAACCATTACCTCATGAGTTAACTCAGTTCACCTCGAATTTTTACGAATCCGAGCTATGTTTTTTAGGCTCATTTAATAAACTAGTTAACTGATCGAGCTTAATTGAGTTGACGAATTTATAAATATAAATTTGTATAATAAATGAGTTGAACCAAACTAAATCATGATATGCTCAATAGCTGAGTCGAACGAGTTAACTAAGTTTGACCCCTTACTTATAAGTTAGTGAATTTGGTCTTAATTATCTTTTTCAATCGATATACATAGAAAAGACTTAAGTTATCTGACAGGGCTAAACAAATTTCTTGAAAATTTAAAATCTTGTCGTTTGTCCGTAATGTCCGAACTTCCACAACCCCGTTTTCACGGATTCACAATTACTACAAGCAAACATATTAATCTAATAAATAGAAATCGATTTCTTTAAGTACTAATGGGACGGACGGAGGATGCGTTGG